TATGAGAGGTCTGAGTGGACAATATGGGGATTGGCTTTTAAAAGATTGTTGCCTTGCCTGGCTCACTGGATAGAGCGTCGGCCTGCAGACTGAAGGATCCCAGGTTCAATTCTGGTCAAGGGCATGTACCTTAGTTGCGGTCACATCCCCAGTAGGGGGTGTGCAGGAGGCAGCTGATTGATGTTTCTCTCTCATCAATGTTTCTCTCTATCTCTCTCTTTTCCTCTCTGAAAAATCAATTATTTTATATATATATATATAAAAGATTGTTGCCTTCATGTATTGTTATAGATAGTATTTGGGCAGGCATGTAACCACTTGAAATAGCAAATTGGGAACCTTCAGGTTCAAGTTCTTCAGGGTGTTTATTCCAGCTGTGTATTACCTAAGGCCTCAGCAGCTGGCCTCCAGGCTGACTCTGTAGCTGACACCACTGCTAGAACATATGACCTTGGCCGCCCTCAGCCTCTGCCGCCAGCAATAGCTAACGCCCAGGTGAGAACCGTGTCTGTCTAAAGGTTGCCCACAATGAACTAATGCTCAACCATTTATAGAAATAACACTGCTGTGAACATTCATGCACAATTTTTTGCATAGACGTATGTTTTCAAATTTCTGAAGGTTCAAGTACTTATAAATCACCTATTAATATTAAGTGATACATAATAAATGACACTGAATGATACATAATTAAGATTTCTTATTCATTAAAGAGGTTCCCTAAGAGCAGCAAACCTGTTTCCTCATGGTAATTCAGGTGTGATACAGAACACTTGGTAGGCCTAAAGAAATAAAATGGCACTATTTTAAGCCCAAAATTTCTGCTAATTTACACAAATCTTTCACCAAATCAGTCTGAATGAATGATTTTATTAATTTTACTGTCTCTATCTAAAAATAACTAGGGCTATTATGTGGTCTTCAAAATTTCTCTCTTCCTGTTCCAAAAGAAAAACCTAGCATTTTAAGTTCACATACAGGGAGAGACTTGGAATGTGGAATCTGACTTATAATTCTTGTGAATATAGAACCTTGGACTGTGCTGTGACTTACCTGTTCAGGTTTACCTAATAAAAGTTTAATAAAGCCCAGCAGGTGTGGCTCAGTGGTTGAGCGTCGACCTTTGAACCAGGAGATCTCAGTTCGATTCCTGGTTAGGACACATACCTGGTTTGTGGGCTCAATCCCTAGTGTGGAGCATGTAGGAGGCAGCCAACTGATGATTCTCTCTCATCATTGCTGTTTCTTTCTCTCTCCTTCTCCCTTCCTCTCTGGAAGTCAATAAAAAATAAAATTATATATATAAATATATGCTGCATTTAAAAATAAATTTTGGGTTATATAAAAACTCATGTATGTGGGAGTTTGGGCTCACATTTAGAGCCTCCACCAGTAGACCAATGAAGCAGGGAGTCCCTCGGGAGTGAGGACAACGGAGCCCCAACGCACTAGGGCGTCTGCATGCACGACTCCGGGGACCAGGTTCATTGATGCAGATCCGTTTCATTGAGGAACTACATAGGCGACCAATCAGAGGGAGACACATTGCTATAGGCGACCAATGGCTGAAAGGCTGGGGTACTATGCACGTGGCTCTAGGAGTTAGTTCAGGCCGGCATTGCTACTTCCTAATGTGCCGAGGAAGCATGTCATGGTGGAGTGTGCTCACACCACTGCATCAGCCGCAGCGCTGAGACATACTTCCGGAGCTCTACTACAGACCATCATGCAAATAACTGTTACAAGGTTCTTCACCCACCGGCACCATTCCTTCAGAATGGTCTGCTTCTCTCCCAGTGCCTGCAGCTGGCTTCTCCAGCAAGCCTCATCCTGGCCTTTGAATTTGCCCGTATGCTTCACAGAAATTTAATATGGAAACAAGATGCTTCTTTGGGGCAGCTGCTGTAGAGGCCACTTGTAGAGAAGAAACCACACTAATAAGAAGTATGGTTGTTTTCACCAACGGAAAATTACAACTTTGCTTGGTTTCGATCCTTGGCACCAAGTCTTGGGTTCCTCATCACTGAATAGACTCTTTCCACTTGGCTTTCTCTCAGCCAGTGTCCTGGCACACTATCAGAGGGGGGATAATTAGAAAGAAGTGTCTTATAGGGATGAGGAGCACTGGTAGCTCACCACATGGGGATAATTGTGGATCTTCAAACGAATCCCGGACCAGACAGCAGCGTTGTCTTCTTGCTTACATAAACTCTATCAGTGTTCACACCTCCCGAAACATGTGCACACTGAGAGCTGGAATGCTTGCTCAGCTTCCCTCCTCCTCAAGGGAACCTTTTAGTGATTCCTGGGTGTAAGAGCAGTGACCCAGCTGTCGTTAGCCCCAGAGAATTTTCTGTGAGTGTCCGCATCGAATCAGAGTTATTATGTTGCTGTGGGATATAAGGCCCATCTTATTCTTAGTTCACTCATGATTCAGGTAATGTGAGTGTGTGGTGGGGGGTAAGAAACAGCTTTATTCTTTTTGGGACTCTTGCTAATTGTAAACATATCAAGATACATACACGTAAGCATCTTACATTTCACCTTTCTGAGGCAACAAGTGTACCACTTTGGCAAGCATGTCTATTAGTCTCTCTGTTTGATGTGCAGAATTATTCATATAGCCTTTCTCAAATATATTGGTGAGCATGGTGCTAATTTGTGCTCATCCAGAAGCTGACCCTGAAACAAGGACTGGAAAGGAAGCAATTCATTCAGGAGGTGTGGCAGACAGTACGGGGAGTGAGGAGGAAACGGAGGCAAAGGCAGCCAATGAAGGGTGGCTATCGTTAGCTGGTAGTGTGGTGGTTGGAGCTTAATCCCACAGAGAAACTCTGGGAACTGGTATAGAACATGTGCCTCACGCACGGATCATTTGAAGGGCAAGGGCAAGGGAGCTGGAGTTTTTAAGCTCAGGTCCTACTGGCTGAGGCTGCTTCCAGTGAGTGTCACTTCTGAGCACTTCTGGCCTAAACAGCCTTCCAAGACCTTGGAGAAAGCCCCACAGGAAAGACCGGAAGATATTAGCTGGTGGAGGGCAGCCACACACATACACACAAAGGTGGTATTGTTGGAAAGATGTGCCAGGCACTGTTCTAGAGGCTGAAGATACAGGAGGAAACAAAACAGAGTTTTGCCCTCATGGAGTAATCCTTCTGTTGGGGAAACAGATAACAAAACAAGGCAAATAAGAAACATAAGGGGTGTGTTACAGGGTGACAAGTACCGGGGAGAAAATTAAGTGCTGAGAAATCCTGGGGAGGAAGGAGAAGCAGTTGTTTGCAATTAGCAAAAGGGAGATCAGAGAAGCCTCACTGAGAAGGTAACACTCAAGAAAAAGACCCAAAGGAGGGGAGGGGAAGCCCAGCACGAGGTTATCTGTGTGAGGAAATAGCAGACAAAGCCCTGGAGC